GGACTTGTTTGGAGACACTACTGAACCTGAAGCACTGCGTGAGCTCTTCACAGAACAAGATAGAAACAGCAAAGCAAGGAAGGTTACTGGGGTTACCACCAGCATGGGAGCAACACCAGGCATTCCCATGGCAACCAGGCCTGTCACTCCACCACTGAAGCCGGCGACAACGGTAGAGCAGTCATTGACAACAAAGAAAGTGACATGGCAGTTTAAACCAGCCCAGAGGTCAGTCTGCACCAGAATCAGGAAGGAGAAAGAGAAGGAAGTGACATCATCCTCACTGGTAAGGCTCACAGAGCTGGGAGGAGATGAGACCCACAGACCCCCCCCTTCATCTTCATCGTCTTCATCATCCTCACCGTCGTCATCATCTTCTGGTTGATTTGTGAAGGAAACCATTTTTGTTTGACCATTTGAAGCTGAATTAGTTGCAGAAAGGTAGAAACAACTGCAGCTTTTTTGCCTGTAAATTTGCATCAGTTTTGCATCTAGCTGCTGCCATTGCCTTCTTATAAACGCTGCATAAAAGACTAGTTATTTGTTGCATTTTCTTAGATTAGCCTACACAGTATCATATATAATCAGTTAAGTTTGAGACAGTGAGACTCAGGCTAAACTGAAACCTTCAGGTTGAGAGTGTGTGGAATTATGATGACCACTTAGGTGAGATATGCACAGTGTCATTCCTAATGAGTTTTATCTACAGTCAACTTTGGAAACACAGGGTTGATTAGTTTCAATCTACATAATTAATATGAATAGTTCTGTGTTTTTTTTATTCTACCGAATGTATTGTACAGCATATATACAACTACAAGTAAAAAATAATTCACATATCAGGCACTCACAATGATTTGACTCGGTCATCTGTATTCAAACATCATTACAACATTGAAAGTTAGTTGCAATAACACAAAAAGGATTATAGGAGGAGAAATTAATATTTGTCAGACTCAATGTTGTGTTACTTAAAAATCTAACAGCGTGAATGTGTCTCAGGCCTTATATCAAATTACACTTCATTCCTCATCCAACACCTGGCTCTAATCCTTGATCTTACTACTTCATGTATGTATTTAAAAACTGATTTTTGAAAACCCACTAAGGTCAAACTTTAAAGTGCACAATGTATTTTATAATCACATCTAACTTTACAGTGTATTTAACAGTGTCAATAATATATTTTGAACATTGAGATAATTATAGAATGACATATATACGTGTGATGAACATGCAAACATGATCAAATAAAGGAAGGATTTAGTAATAACATTTAATTTAAATGTTTATTTATCAATTAGATTTAGAATTGTAAATGTAATAATTGAGCAATATGCCTACAGATTCATGCTATATTCTATGTTTCAGATGTGGAAAGTGTTGCCTGAGTGATGTGTATCATAGTGGCTGATTTGAATTTTATTATACAGCCAAATACTAACTGTAACAGCAGTTTTGCACTTATTTAAAGGTTTTATGTGTAACATTTTTAAACATTAATTTATCATCAGGTAGATTGGTATAACTGCCATAAACAAGGAAACCATGGTTGAGATGACTGGTAGTCTCTGTCTTACACCAGTAGTATTTTTAGTGTTTCTCAAAATAAAGACTTCATCTCCCATAATCCCCTTTGTGCCATGTTGCGTCTGTAGCATTTTTGGCTTTACTGAAGAGGAGTTTGGAGACAATTTCCTTCCCATTTGCTTCAAATTCCTCTCCAGCATTTGATGAAAACTAAAAGCTTTAGTTCTGCTTGTGCTGAAAGTAAAGCAATCCTAAAGATTTCCCTCCAAATCCAAGTCAGAGGCACACAATATAAAATGCAGTGTGGAGGCTGGCAGAACTGCCAGTCATGCCAGCAGCGGTCTTGTTTTTGCGTAATTATACGTTCTAATGTCTCAAAATGAATGTGGTAATCATTTACTGATGTTAAAAATGACACCTGTTGTACCTTTAAAAGAGAGCACAGTGCTGTCAGAGTTGTTACAAATGTGGCACAGGGATGGTGTGAGGTTAACCTATTATTGTCAGTTACACAATAATAATACTTGTTACAATATGATGCTGTTATGAAAGGCTGTGTGGGAAGTCATGGTCTGACAGGCACATCGGTTGCTAAGCAGGTTCAGCTGTGGTATTGATTTTGACAACCTCAAAGTCAACTAAATGTGTCTTATTGTGTGTTGAGAGTGAGGGTGACAGCAGCAGAGTTTAAAGCTGAATCTAGTGTTGGCATGCAGCAGCCATATTTGTTGATTGAGACTGATGATGTAAGATGCTTTTTATTGTTGTTATTTTTAATGTATGATGAAAGTGTTGCAGCTTGCAGTGTCATTATGAACACTGAAATGCTCCACCAGTCCTTATTCTTGTGATCATTCCTGATGTAAACCAACAGGATCTGGTGGAGCCCTACATGTACCTGCAGGGTCAGTGATGGGTTTATTTCTGGTACTTTTGAGCAACAGATGTACGAGCACACCTACAGAGGAATTACGTGATTCATTAGCATAGATTATCTTTGTTTTTAAAGCTGCAGGCCTTTGTTTTGGACTGTCAGAATGTATTAGTAAGTGAATGTTAACCAGGGCTGAATTAATGACTGATGAACGTTTCAGATGACCAGAACTTCTGGTGTTTCAGCATGACCAGATTAGCCTGTTCGGCGGTGTCCCATGGCATCAGAAACCAACCGGTGCTCCTTGTGCTAAAATAATGTTACTGTAGGTCTTTCTTGTGTCTGTTTGTGGTCATTTGATTACACACACATTATGTGGTATTAGGTACCATACAGTATAAACACAACCTGATGTTTTAACCTCCACAAAGTTCATTACAGTCATGGAATGTACAAATTGCAATATTCAGCAGTTTACCTAAAAACTAATATTCATCAAAACACTGATTACTAATCACTCAGCAGCAAAAGTCACTTGAATTTTGTTAGTGTGAGGTGCTTTTAAACAGCTCCAGTTTTGCCACACACGCATCACATAATGTATATTTGGGATGTGTAGACAATTTTTAAAAAAGCAGGCAGGCCTACAGTTTGGAGGGGTTTAATGACCATCCAGCAACTAGCTTAGACTCTGTGCTGCCAGATAGTGCTTTGTAAAGTTCTGCTCAGTGGCAAAGTTCATAAATCCTGCAACTCGACACAAAAGTAGATGATTTCTGAATATAAATGCACCCCCCAAGAGCACATATCATGAGAATAACGCAAATATGGAATTTGTGGGACTTGTATTTCTCCTTTTTTGGTATAGGATAGGCATATACAGTGGGATAGGTACAGGCTAACCATTTCCCCACACCTCAAGCCCCTGTGCTAAGCTACAGCTAGCGCATCCTAGAGCAGACCAAACAACAACTGGACAAGACAGCTTATATAAAGTATTAATTATCTCCTGGTAGGATGGAAGAAAAGCTGATCTTCAACAGTCAAAGTAACCGAGCATTACTGGGATTAGTAACTGTGATATTACTGTTAATGGTTGGATTTCAAATTATAACCTCTGACCTTACTTGTTACTGAAGAAAATATTATGATGTGCATGTGTTAATCAAATGAGAGAAGAGAACAGCACTACTGCTAACATCATATAGCTCTCCTTCTCTCCCTCTTCTTCTGTTACAGACACACATAGACATTAGCTCTCTGTTGCTTCTTACCTTCTATACATCTTCCTTTTATTCAGTGTTGGTCATGTTTACTCCCACCTTTCCCCTGTGGCTGTCCCTCAGACCTGCAGGCTACCAGCTACAAATTAACACTAGCTATTCAGCGAATCCTCACTGTTGTTGTTGTTTGGTTGGTTTCTTTTTTTAGCCCATACTTTAACAGATATACACCTGCTTTATTTAGAATGGCAAACAAATTTCTAAAAGTTAATCTGCACCTCTCAGCACATCGCACATGGTTTAAATTAAAATAATGAATTGTTTAAACTACATTTTGGGTCACAAAATAAGTCAGTAAAGCAGCACCTGTCCTGTTTGATATTCTGCTTTATTAATGATGCCAATCAAATCACCAAAAACCTTTGACAGTGAAACTGGAACTTCTGGGGCCCAGGTCAAGTGTTAGCTTTCTTAGTTAATCCAGCCTTGCATTTATGAACCTGTGAGTGGTGCTATATTAAATCCAGTGAGTGTACCTTTAAAAACATGACAGAATTAGCTCTGATTTGGAAGTGGCCAAGCTCATGCTGTGATTTTCCATGTGGTTTGGACACATTCTACCCACATTTCACATATGAGCAATATAAAGACATGCAGCAGGTATATGTGTTATAAGAGACATCATTTTCACTGATGCAGTCTCATACAGTATCTCCTGCTTTTTACTGTGTATGAAAGATTTCATTGGAACACGCCTGTGGACCAAGTTTAGCAGAGCAGTTTTTTCTGCAGCTCCATAGCAGGACTACAGGCAGTTTGATTCTTTGCCAGCTCTAGCCGCTTCACGTGATCATGTCATGAGACCTGTGCTGTTTATTTGAAGCTGACTATTTCTTGGTGTATAAGTGGGACAGGGCCAAGGCATTTATAAACCACCCGGACAAACTGTCTCTTGATCTACACTGCCTATATTTACATGCACTTACGTCACACTGACCCTGCACTCCAGCTGAGGTCGCTTCTATAAAGACACTGTTCATTACAAGACACTGTTCATTATAAGACACTGTTCATTATAAGACACTGTTCTTTAGATGTAACCTGTGTGGGATTTTCTCTGACATATTAAACAATGGGCAACCTGCTCTCTATTGGAATATTAACATTTTATCTAACCCTGCTGCTTATGGTGTCCGCTGGAAAGGGTTTTTGTTTGGGTAGCTAAAATTTAAAGCTCAGAAACTGGACCAAATCATACAATGAGCCAGATAGCTGTACAGTATGTAATATTTTTTAACAATGAAGCAATCTTTGATTTTTGCTCGCATCAAACTGTGGCAAGACATCACGTTTCACTGTGACACATTAAGGATAAATTACTTTACACATCCTTCACTGACTTTTGTGAAATCCAGTAATGTCAGGCCATACATGTAATATTTTGCTGTTCATGTAAATGCTTGATGGTGTTAAAGCTTAGTGGTGACTGAGAACATGAGAGGGATTCCTATTGGACAAAAGATGATTTATGTGAAATGTTATTGCGTGCTGTATTCTCAAGTCTTGCTGAAATACATTAATGTACAAATAAAGACTAAATTTGATGGTGAAATATGAGTCTTTTTGAAATGTTTGTCATTTGTCTCAGCATCTTAACCCAAACTGGAGAAGTAGTAAGTCAGCGATTGGATTACTCTACCTGTTATTTTATATTTTAACCCAAGTTCACCAACGTACATGACTCAGAATCTAACCAACCCTAGACACAACTTAAAGTTGAACTATTTTTATTAATGGCTCAAATGACTACAATCCCAAAATAGAAAAAGCTGGGACCCTGTATTACATTGAAAACAATACAGCAGCACATTATTTGTTGTGACACTTCATCAGTTTTATCCTTTGTTCAAAATAAACCCTCACTGCAGCACATTCCAAAAAAAGTTGGGGCGATTGCATTTCAGGGCTACTAATGAGGTACAACAATGAAATGATGATTCCATTTGAAACAGGTGATTACAATCATGATTTGGTACAAAAGTGGCATCCAGGAAAGACCAAGCCCTTTAAGAGCAAAGATGGGCCAAGGACCACCAGTTTGCCAACATATGTGTAAGAAAATTATTGAAATGTTTAAAAACAATGTTCCTCAATGAAAGATTGGAAGGGATTTGGATATGTCACCTTCTACGGTTCAGAACATCATTTAAAGATTTAAGGAATCTGGAGGGATTTCAGTACAAGGGCCAAGCCTAAGCTGGATGACCGAGCTCTCTGATCCCTCAGACGTCACTGCATCAAGAATCATCTCTCTTATATGAGTGATATAACCACATGGGCTCAGGATGACTTTGGCACATCTGTGTCACTACAATACGTAGTTACATCCATAAATACTGCTTCAAACTGTCCAACCATCAATCCATCCATTTTCCTCCGCTTATCCGGGACCAGGTCGCGGGGGCAGCAGTCTAAGCAAAGATGCCCAAACTTCCCTCTCTCCAGACACTTCCTCCAGCTCCTCTGGGGGAATGCCAAGGCGTTCCCAGGCCAGCCAACACACATAGTCCC